TGGTTCTAGAGATTCAAGAAAAGATTCCAGATGCATAGTTTTCGAGCGACTGGAGAAGCAGCAAGTGCAGATGAGGAAGGAGCATGTAAGTTTGTTGATAGTCTGGATGAATTAATTACAGATGAGGGATATCTAGCAGAACAGATTTTCAATGTTGATGAACTTACAAATGAAGAGCTAATCGAACTGGAAGAAGAAAGAGTGGCGGAAGAAGAAAGAAGAGAAGCAGAGAAAGAAGAGGAGGAGCCAGAAAGAAAGCTCACCACTAAGGGATTATCAGATGGTTTGTCTTTACTGAATAAACTTCATATACATTTCAAAGCAATGGACCCATCGAACGATTTGCAAGGACTGAACTGATGGCGCACGATGTGTTTCGTCCATATCGTGAAATTTATGAAGAAAAAATGAAACATACAATTCAGACAAAGCTCACCATGTTTATGAAAAAACCAACTCCGGTAACCCCAACTGCTGCCTCAGATGACATCAACGATCCGCAGCCAAGCACCAGCGGCCAATAAAATGTTTTGTACATGTTTATATATTTTGATATGTTTTGTAACTGGGAAAATGTTTCCTGTGGTATTTTTTACACCTGTATTTGGTATTTTTGTATGCACCTGTATTTTGTAATTTTGTATGTTTTGCAAATATTAAACCAGTTGTACTGGTAATGCAGTGTTTTACTTAAACCTGATGAATGTAAAAATACAGTAAGAAACAAAATAGTGTAGAAATGATACAAATGGCATATAATGAAAGAAAATTATGATAAAATATGACTTAAAGATTTTTATAACATCATTTCACAGTACTGTACATATAGCCTACTCAACTTAGGACCAAATCGTGTTATGACCAGTCTGTCGGAACCAATCGTGGTTGTAAGTCAAGCACTAGCTGTATTTCAAAATGCCTAACTATTCCAATTACCCTATGGATTAAAAGCATAGTCCTGGATTATCATACAATATTATTCTAATAAACATTATGAAGTACTTTTCTTCTTAATTGGCTTTATAACAAAATTTTAGTTTATTTCTGAGTCCTGGCCCTATATTCCCTAAGGGATTGAAGACTAAATTAGAGGTTTACTTTGCATTTTGCCTGCTGTGCAAACTGATATGAGAATGCCAATTCATTCTGTTTATTTCTTATTTGCTACATGCTACTATTTCCAACTAAATTATTTTTTCTGATAAAGTAGTGGCTTCTGGCAGGAAACTGAGAAATTCCTGTAGCATACACAGAAAGGCAAGGTACTCAAGATGTTTGAGTTCATGACAATTTGTTTCTTTTGAGAGTTACAAATTAATTTCATATCCTTACAGTAGCCAGTGCTCAGTTCATAACCCCAGGAAAGATTTATTGGCTTCAGTACCCTCACAATAAGCAAAACCCACAGCAATAGCATCTTAATAGGGACCGCTTAGCTTCCAAATACCTAATAGTAAAGAATAAAGCTGAATTATAAGATTGCTTGCCATGTGGTCTTTTAAAACTCTGGAATGGAAAACAAACAAAAAAGAACTCTGGAATGAATAAAATGATCCCACATCACTGTATCACTTAACCAATGGTTTGTTTATATTCTTTTCTACCAACCTACCAACAATGCTATTTTTTTGATATGCTAAACTCTACAGGCTAGGTTCCAATGAACAATTTAGTACTTTGCTTTCTGAAGCATGTACATACAAGAATAAACTTTTTTTGCCTAGAATTCAAAACCTATTTTAATATTCATTTTATTAAGCAGCTCAATCAAGATATGAATAGTAATATCTTCATCTTATAAACAAGAATGAATTTTCTAAGAGGATGCAGAGGTAAGGGGAAGACACTCATTTCATAAAATAGCATCAGTGTGCTTCTGAGATAGCTGAAAAAAAGGACACACAGACAAGAAGGGTAGACCCTACAAACATTTTGGCTATCTTTTCAAAGCACTCCAAATTTGGATGATATATTGTTATAAATCACCTTGATTAACAGAACGCATTTGCTAAAGTGGTTCTCTAATAGCTACACAATTCTTATGACTTGAATAACCCAGCCTAGAAAAACTGGCAAGGGAGAAACTCTCAAAAACACTGGCCTCTTTCAGAACCAGTACTGCCCCTGATCAGAAATACTTCCCTTTGTTTCTTTATTTTTTTTTAAATAATAAAGACAAATACATTTTAAAGTAAGTATAATTTGATTAGATGGGAACAGAAATAGATAGGCAGAGGGTATTCTGAAAGTAGTAGTAGTGGCATGGTGAGGATAACAGATTCTAAAGCCACTATTTGTATTTCAATTCTCATTCTTCCTCTGTTTGAAATTGGGCAATTTATTTAGCCTCTTTTTAAAAATTACCTATCAGTAAAATATTAGTATTACCTACCTCACTGAGTTGCTGTTGTAATAATTAAATAAGTTAACCTTTGAAAAGATTCTCAATGTATGGTGGAAGTATAAAATAAGTGCTAACCAAAATTATTAGAATGATGTATTGTAAACTTACAAAGGTGTCCAACAAAAAGTGAATGGGATATACCCGGAACAAAATGGCAATGTTATCTAATTTGTACGTTTATCAAACATATAAAAACTCAGTAACAGAACACCCTACTAGTGTTCTACTGCACAGTAGGGTAATTATGGTTAACAATATTGTATTGTATATTTCAAAACAAGTGAAAGAGCAACTCAGAAGGCCGATGTGGGAGGAGCATCTGAGCCCTGTAGGAGGAGGTTGCAGTGAGCTGAGATTGTTCCACTGCACTCCAGCTTGGGCAACAGAGCAAGACCCTGTCAAAAAAAAAAAAAAAAAAAAAAAAGGCTGAAAGAAAGGATTTTGAATGTTCTCACTATAAGCAAACAAAAAATGTATGAGGTAATGGATATGCTAAATGTCCTAATTTCATTTGTATACAATGTATATACATATTGAAACATCATACTATTCCCCATAAATAATGTACAACCATTATGTGTTAATTAAAAACAAAAACAAAAAACTCAAAGAATATTTTCCTCTAATAGAACTTTAAAAAATTTACATCTTACAGTGCTGGTTATATTCTCTGGTAACTTAGCAGAGACTTTATCTGAATTCTTTTGTACTGACATCCACCTCTAATAACTCTTAAAAAAAAAAATCAACAGTAACAATGATACGGTATTAAGTACCTAGAGGATGTTATTTATTTGTTCTGTTGTTCTGTCTGTCGATACCATTTCTGGTTTCAAGTACATACATGTTGCTACAGCAATTTAGAAGTGACTAGAATATCTCAGGAAAAGCTAATAGTCATATGAAGGTGAAACTATATGGAAAATCTAACATTATTTAAGGAGAACAGGATACAGTGTCCATGATGAAAGCAACGGTAGAAAAATGATACCTGACAGCACACTATCATCTTTAACACTGTTATCATCATAAGCTAACAATTACTGTGTATTTAGCATTGTAGTAATAAACATCAAAAACACTTGTACAGTTGAACCATAGTCGATTACAGATGGTAAATAAATAACTGACGACTTAACAGTCTATTGGTCAAACTTACTTATAGGACAATCAGAGGCTACTATGGTTCAAAATAAATTTACACTGGCAATGCAATTATTCAATTATGTTTACATTGAGGATGAATACAGAGATAATGTTAGTTAACAAACAGCTGCATTAATAATTTGATAGCGACACAGAAGAGTTACAGTAAGGTAGAAAATTAAGCTGTAATTATTAAAGTAAGAAGAATATAAGCTGAGTATACAAAAGGCCACCTCTTCCAAGCTGTTACAGAAGCCACGTGATTGGTGAAAGGAGCTAATGCATTTTATCTACTCTTCATTCTTCCATTTTACTGTCCTTGCACTTTTTCTAGCTGTAAAGGCAAGGTGGTTGTATATGATTTTGATATATATACAATTTTGATTCTCAAAATTTAAATATGATGCTAAAAAAAAACATAGGCTTTATTTGATTTTGTCAGATTTCCAACTAACAGTTAGTGGACAATTCTAAGCCAGGATCCCAAATGCATTTAGTTATCATATCTCCTCTGTCTGCTCCAATAACACTCCCTTGATCTTTCCATGATTTTCATGACCTTGACAGTTTTGAAGAGCACTGGTCAGTTATATTGTAGAATGATCCTAAATTTGGGTTTGTCTTACATTTTCTCATGATTAGACTAAGGCTGTAACATTTTTGTCTTGCAGGTGCCCTTCTTGGCGCTTCAATCCAGAGGCTGCATTATATTGATAATGTCGTGTTACTGATGAAGTTAACTCAGTTAAAGTAGTGCCTGACAGGTTTCACCTCTAAGGTTTTTCCCTTTGTAATAAGTATCTTGGGAGAGATACTTTAAGTTTATGCAAGCCAGGTGAGGTGGCTCATGCCTGTAATCCCAGCAATTTGGGAGGCTGAGGCGGGTGGATGATCTGAGGTCCAGAGTTCGAGACCAGCCTGACCAACATGGAGAAACTCCGTCTCTACTAACAATACAAAATTAGCTGGGCGTGGTGGCACATGCCTGTAATCCCAGCTACACAGGAGACTGAGGCAGGAGAACTGCTTCAACCCAGGAGGGAAGAGGTTGCAGTGAACCGAGATTCCACCATTGCATGCCAGACTGGACTAGAGTGAAACTACATCTCAAAAAAAAAAAAAAAAAAAAAAAAAAAAAATTATGCATAAATTGTATTTCTCCTCAAACCTCTGTCCAATAATTTTAGCATCCACTGGTAAATCTTGCCTGTAACAATATTACTAAGATGTTTTTGTAGGGTTTTAACTAAATATATGTGAATAAATAAAGTAACTAAAATATATGAAATATAATAGCTGAATTGTTCTTGATGTAAACATATTAAAATTCTACTGGATGCATTTTTTCCTACATTTGAAATATGAGTAAACATTATTTTCTTTTGTCAGCATTCAGTTAATGTTAATCAATTATGACACCAAAGAATAACATAATTGAAATATTACTTACATAACTATGGCTTTTAAAGAAATTTGATGGACTAGTGGTGAGGATTTTGTCTCCTTCCAAACCAATTACTCTTTTACAAATATTTGATTTTGGATCACTTGGGCTTTTTGCAATCACAATGTCACCTCTGAGGGGGAAAAAGTCAAAGAAATATCAGTATTATTTATTAAGAATAAACACATGCATGCCCCTGCTTTAATACTTTTATAAGGCAACTTGAACAAAGCCATACCCTTTATCCTCTCATATACTGACTCTTTGATAGATTTACTGCCTTTGAGAAGCTTTGTGACTGACTACTTTAGGTGAGAATCCAACAATAAGAGTGATGAAAAAGCTATCTAACATTTCTGATAATTTCAGAAGATTCTAAATTTTCAGATAATTCTACAAAAATTATCTTTTTGCATTGTATCCACTATGCTTTGCTCCTGTGTCCAAATTTCCAAATTCTTAGAACCAAAACTGTGGAAAACCAATTCTATATAGGCTGGGTACAGTGACTCACAACTATAATCCCAGTGCTTTGGAGGCTAAGGCAACAGGACTGCTTGAAGCCAGGAGTTCATGGCTGCAGTGAGCTGTGATCTTGCTACCCTAAGCAACAGACTGAGACTGTCTAAAAAAAAAAAAACCTCCACACAATTCCATATAAATACTAACAAATTAAGTAAATTTTGCTGTCCAGCCAGTAGCACTGATTGACTCTAGAGCATACCTAAAAAGGTAAAAACATCATCCATGTTTCCCTAGAGCTCAAATAATTGAGAAATGATAGCATTTAAATCCTATAACCCATATAATTTATAGTACAGCCAAAAGAACTTATATTTGAGAAAAAAATCAAAAGATAAAACAAAATAAAATGCTAAAGGCTGCCCAAACATACACTCTGAAAAATAAAATGAGATCTCAAACATATAAAACCAATAAAGATCTGATTACATACAGAAGACATGATTTACACAGGGAGTGACTATCTGGTAATAAAATATACGAAAGATCCTTAAAAGTAGAAAGGAAGGAGACAAAGAATGTAGGACCAATGACCACAGTCAAACAGAACACAATGCTATTTCTGCATAAAACAAGCAATATGTGAATTCTGTTGACTAACACATTTAAAAGGATTTAACATATTTGCTTATTAATTGTACCAAGTTCCAGAAATAATTTAATGTTACTTATAATAAAACATGCATATGTCAAAATAATATTAAAAGCCATAAAAGTAAAAGGAAAATGATGATGAAATCTGAAACCTAATAACTGCTCTATAGAAGCATTAAAAACGGGTTCGAAACTCTTTGGGAGCCAAGTCAGAAGAAATTAAGACCAGTTACATGGAAATCACTAATTTTAAAATAACGTTTATTTTGGGAGGCAAGACAAAATTTTCCCTAATAACTAAATCAAAGAGAAATTCACAAGAAGCATTTTTATGTGAGAATAAGATACCATCTTTATCAGAAAATTTACAGAAAATGCATAAACAGTATTTACAATGATGATTTCTTGAGGCTCTTCTTGGTAAGAGTTGAAAGGTAGCAAATCATTAAATTCTGTAATTTAGAGGCAACACAGTATTGCTTTTTGAAAATAGAATAAACTATTTTCTTTCTAACCAACTAGAACCATGTCAGTGGATCTGTTCAGATAAACAAATTTGCAAAGATTGTAACATACCATCAAAGTTGATTTTGGATAGCTTTGGAGGAAGAGACTTTTTCCATGGGTGTTTAATGAAGCTTAAGTTATTTGATCAAATAATCAATATGACTCTTAAAACAAACTTTGCATTTGAATGGCAACATAGAAATCATACTTCAATCATGCTGTTTCATAGAAAGCATATAAACTATATTTCTGGTAGTCTAACTAGATATATGTATAGTGTTTAGATCAAAACAGATAGCCCTTGGATTCTTAACTCCTTCAAATAGTTTTAAAAGGAAGCTTATTAAAAAATTTCTCATTTATATTTATAAACATACTTATTATTCTATTGCACAGTAAGCTTTTGAAAACCAGTGTCAACATCTCATTAATCTTAACATTCTCTATACTGTATAGTACATCTTAAAAATTAGGTGCTCACTACTATTTGTTTAAAGAGTAAGTAGTAGTAAAAATTTGACTGTCTCAAGGTTGAGTGTTCTGTGCAGCTGACTGAAGAGAAATCCATGTGCTTTAGATACCAGATATGCAAATTTTTATTCTTTTGCCTAAATGGGAGGTTATTTTACATTTAGAAACAGGCAGCCAACAACAAAGGACCCCTTGCCAGGGTCAAAGATTCCCCTAAAATCTTGAATTCTATGCTGTAGGTAAAAGAAAGAGAATACTTAGGACAGTAATATTTTTGAAGTAGAAGTTACCAGCTAGCTATCTTGGCTCTAAAAGTTACTTTGGTATATATCTCATAAATGCCAGATTTTGAGCTGTCCTGAAATCTGGATGAATAGAGTACATAATGAGATCTTCAAAATTTCTGAATTCATTTACTGAATGTAGTTGTTTCCCTTATCTGAATAAAATGAGTAATTTTTAAAAAAATAAAAACTATCCAGCTCGGTATTCAAAAACTATTCAGCCAACAGGTTCAGCTCCTCATTCAGGATGCCCAAATATTATTGTGAATATCGAAAGTCACTGGCATGGAACATAGAAGCTTGTCTTCATGCTACAGTGAGGCCAGGTCTCCAGTTAATTCAAAGGCTATATAAGGATAATTTGATATAAGTTAAAAAGAAAAGGGAGCAACACACACCTATTATACAAGTATTTATTTTATAAATTCTGTATCTACAGTTAATTATCTAGAAGTTGTATGGGTAAAGGATTTGAAGAAGAATTACCTATGGAGCATGCCAAACCATAAAGCTTGACCAAGAGTTTCTATCTGCAGAATCTAAGGCTGGTGAAAGATCAGTAAATGTAAAGACCAGTTTATACACTATTGTTCATGATTTTTAATAATGTGAAATAGGTTATAGCAAAGGTGAATAGTGAAAGAGAAGTGCCTAAACTTACTTATTATGCCATAAACTAAATACTAGCTCAAGGGAATTAAATTTGTAGCTTACTGAAATGAAAGCTGGCATAGATTTTTTTCAGAATTATAAAAAACAAATGGACTCAAAATTTTAGGATGTCACAGAGGTGCTCTTGAGAAAATATATTAAATTATTAATACTTGATATTCATTTGGAAGAAATCATTCTCATGGATTTAATTAGAATAATGGGTATCACAAGGATTGGAACCACCATTTGAAACAGGATTTTAAAAGGTTTAGTGATTATTTGCCCAGGAATTATTCAACTTAATATAATTAATCAGGAGACTCATAATATATAAAATTCCTGGTTGTCAGCCATATACAATAATGCAATCTGAAAATCATCAAATGGGATGGGCACAGTGGCTCACACCTGTAATACCAACACTTTGGGAGGCTGAGGTGAGTTGACTGATTGCTTGAGCTCAGGGGTTCGAGACCAGCCTGGGCAAAATGGCTCTACAAAAACTACAAAAATTAGCTGTGCGCAGTGGTATACATGTGTAGTCACAGCTACTTGGGAGGCTGAGGGGGAGGGTCACTGGAGCCCAGGAGATTCAGGCTGCAGGGAACTGAGATCATACCACTGCACTCCAGTCTGGGAGCCAAAGCAAGATCCCATCTCAAGAAATGTGTATCAGAAAATTAAAAAAAAATTAAAATAATCAAATGCTCATCATAGGCCATATATAGAGAATAAGTAGGACAGCAATCAATAGAACTACAGGATTATTTTTAAAATTAAAGAACAAAAACACTGGATATGTAATATAATCCCTAAATTCCTAATGCTTAACTCAAAACATTCTAAAACCCAATAAAAAAAAGTCAACAAAGCTCACATGTATATTGTAAGGGACTGCTAATTAGTTTTTACAATGATACAAGAAATACAATGACCCAAGAGATTGTACATGTTTGAGAAACTATTAACCATTTCTCAAACTGAAAGAAAATACTTGACTCAAAATTTTATCAAGCTGGTCATTAATGTGGTTATTTATAAAAGAGTTTTTAAAGATAAACTTAAGGAACTGGAGAAAAGGTATCATGTGTATGTGTATTTTCACTGTAAATTTAATACATCCATGACTGGAATTTACCTTTGGATACCATAAAAATGTCGACTAAGGTTTTCTGCAAAGACAATATCTGAATTTTGAATTGTAGGCTCCATTGATGGTCCAGAACACTGAAAAGAGAGGTAATTTGTAATCTGAGTTCAAAATGCCTTTTAAATTTAATATAAATCATTTAAACAGGCTTAAAAGAAAGAAAATCAAGCAAATGTTCTTAAAGCTTAGGGGATGATTCATAAAAATTAGCCAGTTCTCAAATAAGTTCAACTCCAGAGTAACCAATAAGTCTGAAAACATAGACAAACACAGAATAAATGGTTTATTGATTTCACATTATAATGCTTGAATAAAATAACATTATGTATGTTTCCAAATTTAGGCACCCTATAGAATGTCAGTTCCATGAAGGCAGAGATCTTCTCCCTGATGTTCCCAGCTATATAACCAAAGCCAAGAACACTGTCTGGTACAAAACTGATAAACCATACATATTGGTTGAATGAATGAGGGGATGATTCATTTTCTTATTATTATTAGATATGATCCAGTGAACATGATAACTTATTAAATGGTATTATACTATTCTCAATGAGTTTATGCCCGTCTTCCTCTTCCAAGAGAATTACTTACTCATTTCATGGGGCTGCAACTTAAATTTTCTTCTGAAAAATACTAGCATGATGAGATGGACTTTAAAGATTTTCATGGCCAGGTATGGTGGCTCACACGTGTAATCCCAAAATTTTGGAAGAATCACTTGAAGCCAGGAGTTCAAGACCAGACCTGGCATCCTAGAGAGACCCCATCTTTACAATGAAGCAATTAAAGATTTTCCTATTTGTATGTCTCAAAACAATAATATTGATATATACAGGTTGAGCACCCCTAATAAAAAGCCTGAAATCTTAAATGCTCTAAAATCTAAAATGTTCTGAGTGTCTACATGATGCTATAAATGGTAAATTCCATATCTGACTCATGTGATGTATCACAGCCAAAATACAGTCCAGATTTTTGTTTCATGTACAAAATTCTTTCAAGTATTGTATAACATTACCTTCAGGCTATGCACACAAGGTACATATGAAATATAAATGAATTTTGTGTTGAGACTTAGGTCCCATCCCAAAAATATCTCATTATGAATACAAATATTTCAAAATCAAAAAAAAAATCTAAAATCCATAACACTTCTGGTCCCAAGCATTTCAGATATGGGATACTCAACCTCTACCTCAGAATCGGAAAAAATTATCATAGCCACTTAAAAATCTAAATACAACAGTCTCTATTTATTTGTAAATAAAACTTTTTACTCAAAAGTTCCTACTCAGGCAGAAATAACAAGAAATGCAATGAAAGTTTGTTTGCTACCTTTGGAAGTACCAATCTAACTTACAAAAAAATCAAGACAAGTTTCGGCCAGGTGCGGTGGCTCATAGCTGTAATCCCAGAACTTTGGGAGGCTAAGGTGGGTACATCACTTGAGGCCAGGAGTTCATGATCAACCTGGCCAACATGGTGAAACCCCATCACTACTAAAAATACAAAAATTAGCCAGGCATAGTGATGCATGCCTGTAGTCTCATCATGGAGACTCATTCAGGAGACCAAGGCACAAGAATTGTTTGAGGCTGGTAGGCGGAGGCTGCAGTGAACTGAGATCACACCATTCCACTCCAGCCCAGGCAACAGAGTACAACCATCTCAAAAAAAAAAAAAAAAAAAAAGAAAAAAAAGAAGGGAAGGTTCAGTTAAATATATACATTTCCAGCTTAACTTGAGGTTAAGACTGCTAATCTAATAAAGTAAACCTAATTTAAAAAAAAAAAACAGTAATAATTTAAAAAACCATTGACTGGCTGGTCAATCAACTTATTCTTTCATTTACATGGCAAAAGGCTTGAATCAACAGCCATGGTTCATAGTTTCCTCATACAATGTTAAGAAAAAGTATTAGTTGGGGATAGGGAGCAGCTTTAACATTTTAATATAGACATTAGGCAGAATAATCAGTCTTAATTAGATTAATAATCTGTCTTATGTGATTAAATTTGTTTTAATTATAGTTAAATATTGTGGTCATGAGGTATAATTTTGAAAACTAGACTAATATGTGTTGAAATTTCAAGTCTCCTACTGACTAACTGTGGGACCTGGAACAAGTAAATTACTTAAGCTTTCTCAGTTCATTTCCTCATGTGTATAATGGATTACTTATAAGTATCTCACAGAGGTGTAAAAGATTAAATGAGTTAATAAGTGTAAAACATCGAATATATCCTGAAACACAGTAAACAGGATTCAATAAATGGTAACAACTATTATTTGTATACTATTCAAAAGGACCTTTTGTGCCCATTAGAAAGAGAACACAGAAAATATTTAAGTAATGGTCCTTATACCTTATATCAGTGCCAATTTAAACACACTCTCTCATTATCCCAATATTTTAAAAAATTTATGTTTTAACTTTCACATTTTATTCACTAATAACTTCAACTATCGTAAAAGGAAAAACAAATTTTCCTTCTATTTGAAAAAAAGTATATATTTAAGATGAATATTCTTGAACATAAAAACTTACCATGACAACACCACCAACGTATTCAAAAGCACAATGAGCTATACAGCCATACTGAATAGTATAGCCAACAAGTCGAAACGTTTTCCCCAGAACACCACGAAGCATAGTTCTATGTAGACTCTGCCACCATTGGCCTGATGGTAAATTTCAAAAAGTTTCATGATCAATACTATTTAAAAACACTTAAGAAATAGCTCTATTGTAAAAATATTTTACAATCACCCCAAATGTAGAAAGTGCATAATACAATTTGGTGCAAGAAGGCAAGAGTTTATTATCAGTTCTACTAATGATATTTTAAATGGCAAATGATAGCCACTAAAGATTTTGATTTATCAAAGTTTATATTCAAACGTCACTGGGTCTATATATGAATTATATAATTAGTAGATTCTGAACTAGTCTGTCCCCTTTCATGTCTTACTTATTTCTTCTACAAGGCCGATGCTTAGGAAAAGATACTAACTCTTTCAAAGGACTAATAGCAGTTTTTCCACAGTTGTTCCTTGCTATGTATTTTTCTTGCCATGTAATAGGAAATAATGGAGAAATCACTAGAATAGGTATACGGAGATTCAAGTTTCACATTGGTTATTTTACTAACTTGTATAATCTTGAACAAATTGCTTAACCTTTCTGGAGCCTAGTAGAAATAATATCTCAGAATGATTCTTAGAATCAAATTTAGCAACATATGTCAAAGTACTTCATAAATTATAAAGTTACATTCATTTGTGAGCTATTAACTACTGACATAACAAAAGGAACACATAAATACTATGAAACAACAGCATAAAAAACCATTTCAAAATTTTTAAAGCTACATAAAATTTTAAAATCTTCATCTATAATGTTTCTGTCCTTTCCTATTTAACTCTATAAAGTATGTGTCTTTTCCTGTTTAACTGTTACAACTATGTATGGTGCATTTCTCAACTAATAGCCTAACTCTTAGGCCTATGCTACATTATTCTATTCTCAAATTTATTAAAATACATCAATAATAATATGTAGCTTCTGCTTAACATGTCAAGCTTCACATGTAATACCTGCATAAGACAGATATTATTACCATCCTCAATTTATAGATAAGAAAATAAAAAGCCTAAGAGTAGTAAAGTAACTTGCTTATTATTGCTCATTATCATCACAAAGTTGGTAAAGGATGAAACCAGTAATAAAAAGTCTCCCAACAAAGAAAAGCCCAGCATCAGATGACTTCCTCTGAATTCTACCAAACATATACAAGAACTAACACCAATTCTTCTCAAACTACTCTAAAAAACTGGAAGTTGAGAGAATTCTTCCTAATTGATTCTACCAGGTCAGCATTGGCCTAATGCCCAAACCAGACACACCAAAAGAGCAACTACAGGCCAAAATCCCCAGTGAACTCAGAGGCAAAAGTTGTCAATAAAATACTAGCAAACTGAACCCAACAACACATTAAAAAGATAATACACCATGATCAGGTGGGATTTATCCCAGGCATGCAAGGATGGTTCAACACATGCCAGTCAATCAGTGTGATATAGAATAAAGAACAAAACCCATACAATGATCTCAATAGATGCAGAAAAAGCATTTGATAAATGTCAACATCACTTCATGATACAAACTCTCAGGAAATTAGGCACAGAAGAAACATACCTCAAAACAATAAAAGGCAATATATGACAAACCCACAGCTAATATCATACTTAATGGGGGAAAAGCTGAAAGTCTGTCCTCTAAGATCTGGAACAAGACACAAATACTTACTTCCACCACTGTTATTCAACATACTAATGGAAATCCCAGCCATAGCAATTAGGCAAAATAAAGGAATAAAGGGCATCTGAATTGGAAAAGAGGAAGTCACTATCCTCGTTATGGATGTCATGATCTTATATATAAAGAAAAACCCAACGACTTCACCAAAAATACTTTTAGAACTGATAAATGAATTCAGTAAAGTTGCAGGATACAAAGTCAGCATGCAAAAATTAGTAGCACTTTATACACCAAGAATGATCTAGCTGAATAAAAATTCAGTGGGATCAATAAAGCATTCCCATTTAAAATAGCTATAAAATATTTAAAATATAGCTAGGAATAAATTTACCCAAGAAGGTGAAAGACCCCTACAATTACAACTATAAAAACACTGATTAAGGAATTGAAGAGGACACAAAAAATAAAAATAGCCCATACTAATGAATTGGAAGAATTAATATTGTTAAAATGACCACACTACACAATGTGATCTAAAAATTCAATGCAATCCCTATCAATATACCAAAGTCATTTTTCACAGAATTAGAAAACAATCCTAAAATTCATACAGAACCACAAAAGACCCAAAATAACCAAAGCAATATTGAACAAAACGAATAAGGCTGGAAGTATTACAGTACCTGACTTTAAAATACACTACAAAGTTATAGTAGCCAAAACAACATGGTATTGGCATAAAGACACACAGACCAATGGGACAGAATAGAACTCAGAAATAAATCCATGCTTTTAGAGCCAACTGATTTTTGACAAGGTGCCAGGAACATATACTGGACAAAGAACATCTCTTCAATAAACGTACTAGAATATTTGGATATCCACATGCAGAGGACAAAACTAGTCCCCATATCTCTCAACATATATAAAAATCAACTTAAAATAAATTACACACTTATAAATAAGACCAAAACTATAGGGGAAACACTTCAAGACATTGATCTAGGCAAAGATTTTATGGCTAAGAAATCAAAAGAACAGGCAAGAAAAAACAAAAATAGACAAATGGGACTTAAACTGAAAAGCTTTTTGCACAGCAATAAAAACAACAAAGTAAAGAGACAACATGTTGAATGGAAGAAAATATTTGCAAACTATGCATCTGACATGAACTAATATCCAAAATATACAAGGAACTCAAATAGCAAAAAACCCAAATAACCCAATTAAAAAGTGGGCAAATGATCTCAATAGACATTTTTCAAAAGAAAACATACAAATGGCCAACAAATCTATATACAGAGAGACCTTAATGTCACTATCTTCAGGGAGATGCAAGTCAAAACCACAATCATATATCATCTTACCCCAGTTAGACTGATTATTATCAAAAAAGACAAAGTAAGTGCTGGCAAAAATGCAGAGAAAAGAAAATTCACACACCCTGTTCGTAGGAATATAAATTAGTACAGTCACTAAGGAAAACAGTGTGGAGGTTTCTTTAAAAACTCAAAACAGAATCACAAAATAATTCCAGCAATCCCACTGCTGGGCATTATTCTAAAAGAAAGGAAATCAGTATCTCAAAAGGATACCTGTATCCCCATGTTTATTGCAGCTGAGCTACTATTCACAACAGCTAAGACACAAAATCAACCAAAATATCCATCAACAGATGAATGGATAAATAAAACATGCTATATATACACAATGGAATACTATTCAGCCACAAAGAGAATGGAATCCTGTCATTCAAAGCAACATGAATTACCCTGGGGCACATTATGTTAAGAGAAATAAATCTGGCAAAGAAAAATATCTTATGTTCTCACTCATCTGTGGGTGCTTAAAAAAAATTAAGCCTATGGAAGTATAGTGTACAATTATGGGTATCAGAGGCTTGAAAGGGGAGGTGGGAGGAAAAATGAGAAATTGGTTAATGGATACAAAATTATAGCTAGATAGGAGAAATGAGTTCCTGCCTTCTGTAGCACTGTTGGGTGAACACAGTTAGCCATAATTTATTGAATATTTTCTTTTTTTTTTCTTGAGACAGTCTTGCTCTGTCACCTAGGCTAGTGTGCAATGGTTTCATCTCTGCTCACTGCAATCACCACCTACTGGGGTTCAAGTGATACTCCTGTCTCAGCCTCCTGAGTAGCTGGGATTACAGGCATGCACCACCACACCTGGCTAATTTTTTGTATTTTTAGTAGAGACAGGGTTTCACCATGTTGGCAAGGTTGGTCTCAAACTCCTGACCTCATGATCCGCCTACCTCAGCCTCCTAAAGTGCTGAGATTACAGGTGTGAGCTACCATGCCTGGTTAATGTACTGCATATTTTCAAAAAGCTACAAGAAGATCTTTAATGTTCACAACATAAAGAAATGATAAGTATTTGAGATGACGGATATGCTTATTACCCTGATTTGATCATTATACACTGTATACATGTAACAAAATCACTGTATTCCATTAATACATACAATTATTACATATTAACTAAACATAAAAGAAAAAAATAGAAGCAAATCTAGAATGTATCTTAGTAGGTTTGTTGTTACTTGTAGTATTATACGTATACTTCAGATGGTAAAAGTGAGCAAACATTTAAGTTGTTGAGTATTAGGTCTCTCACTGTGAGAAAAAGAAGCAACGAATACGGAATGGGAGATTAAGAATGAACTTCAGTTATCAAAACGAATGTATCTAAATAAATAAATATATATATTTGTCTGACTGCCTATAAAAAATATGTCATCCTAGCTCTATCCACTTTGAAAAGGCCATGCAGGAAGCAATGACACTGCAGTAATTATTAGCACACTTAGTGCCCACATTTTTAGTTTCTAAGTATCATTCTCCACCAGACCAGAACAGTCAGTGCTCAAAGACTGATGAAAACAAAGGAACCATTACGAGGAGTTATACAATGGGCAAATTTGGGACAATTATGAGCCTAAGAATAATAACAGTAAAAAATAATACATTAAATTAAAAATGAAAATTTTAAAAAGATGCACATGTTGGGGACAGGAAAGTTCTTTACCAAAACATGACAGCTAATAAATGTAAAAGGAATGATAAAATGATCACCAGTGTAATAATTGATTCAGACAAGGGCCATTAATACATATTAAAATACACTGGGTGAAATATTGTTGATCAACAGGATATCTGAAAAGTATCAAAGTAGATAATTTTTTTTTACAGAGGTAACAATGTATCTTTACAATAAGAAGAACTGGCAAATACTATCTTAACTAAATAACCAAATTTAGCAGCATACTGATATCATGCAGCCTCTTGCCAATGGAATGACAAGTACATCATCATCTGTGTGCTATTCTTGCCCAAAATGTGTAACCCAAATCCAATCAAGAACAATAAAGACACATCCATATTGCAGACATTTGACA